TAGTTTGTAGTTAGTTGAAACAAGTGTTTGATTGTAATCCTGTGCGAGAAAAATCTTTTTTTTTTTTTTTTTTTTTTGCAAAACTAGGGAATTGAGCTCAGGGTTTTAACATGCTATGCAAGTGATCTAGTACTGAATTAGAACCCAGCTCCTAAATCAATCTTCTTTTTCCTTCTCTCCCATTTCTTTCCCTCCTATTGCTCCTTCTTCTCCCCTTCCTCTTCCTCCTCCCCCTCCCTCTTCTTCCTCTTCTCCTCTTTTTCTCTCTCTCCCTTTTTTCCGTTTTTGTACTGGACCTTTGCACTACACCCACAGCAGCATTTTTTGAGACCGGCCTTACTAGGTTGCCAAATTGCTCAGGCTGGGTTCAAACGTGCAGTCCTCCTGACTCAGTCTCCCAGAGTGCTGGGACTACAGGCCGTGCCATCATGCCCAGTCCTAAATGTTTGATTCAGAAAGGGACTGTCATCCATGAAAGACACTGATGATCACTTTCGCCATGTCTGCGGGGGCTTGGTTGTCCTCATGAACATAAAACCATAAACAGACTTGGAAAAATGAAAGCAAAAGTAAAAATAAAAATGGAAGTCTAATGGAAGTATAAGGAAAGCAAAACGGTGCGTCTAAGGAAATGGAATCGAAGGACTTAGCGGTAGTGCCCCAACACAGCGTGGATTGCCCACCTTCCCTTTTTCAGAATCTCCCAGTGGCAAAGCACCGAAGTCAGTCACCAGCATCTCAGTGTCCTGAGACAGCTGGCAGCCCTGATGGTGCAGAAGGCATGTCTGTGAGTAGCGCAGCAGGAAGATGTCCAAATCTGCGACACAGCCATGAGGTGCAGGGCACCCAGTGTGGTTTTGTGTGTTGCAATGACATGGTCAGAGCTGCATCTGAGAATTGTTCTTGGGCCAGAACGGCCACTTTGAGGACTGGATGGGGATAGGGTGGAGACAAGCTGAGGTATTTCTCTGTGAGGAAGCCAACGTGTGGGCACTTTCCTATGGAACTTCCCCTTTCCCTTCATAGCCAGCTCAGCCACTACTGTAGGGAAGTCTCGCTCACCTCTGGACCGGGTGTGGTCCTGGTACAAAGCTTCCTTCTACCGTGTGACTCAGCACCTACCTGCAGCAAGGCTGAGGTTAGACAGATATGGTTATTTGGTTACACCATGAATGGCAGCTTAATTATCTATGGCCATGAAGTGTTAAAAGTCCCCAAAGGCAAGGGGATGCATGTACATGTGTGCATGCATGCACACGTGTGTATGTGCACATACAGGGAACTGTGACAGCCTCATCTCCTTACTACTAATTTTTGCCTTCTTCCAGGATGGCCTGTAAGATTTCAGTACACCCTCTCCTGGTCTCCATGTGGAAGGTTTGACATGTGCTGCCTCGTCCTGTTCTTTCCCTAACAGGACATGCCATGCCCCAAAGGAAGCTCTTTTCTATGAAGTATTTTCTGACACATTTTTTAAAAAACAAAAACTGCTGGGGGGGGTGGCGCACGCCTATAATCCCAGCACTTGGGAGGCTGAGGCAGGAGGATCGTCACGAGTTTGAGACCAGCCTTAGCTACAAAATGAGCTCAAGGCCAGCCTGAACTGCATAGCGAGACCCTGCCTATAAAAGAAAAAAAAAACAAAAAACAAAAAAACAAAAACACACAAAAAAACCAAAAACTGGCCATCTGTTGGAACTATTAACTCTAGCATTCTGGAATAAAGCATACAGATGAATTCAGTTTATATCTACCAAATGGGCATATAATCCTCTTAGTCTGTCTTTATCCAATTTGGGAATCCACATGAAATTAGCCTTATAAACTAAGCTGGGAAACTTTGAAAATTTAGTGAAAACTGATCTGTCCAATTGGTTTGTCTTGGAGAAACTTTGGGGGACATTTCACTTTATTTGACAGTCATGGTCTGTTCAAGTGTCCTGGAGTCCATCCGCAGTGCACAGATGCTGACCATGAAGAGTGGCACCAGCTCACCTGGGCCCGGACTCCAACTCTGTATCCTGGCTAAGGACACTCATGTTCTCTTCCTACCTCTGTCTTCCCAGCTCTAAGAAGATGACAATACTGGCCTCCTAAGATTAAACAGTTGGTATGCACAATGAGCCTTGGTGCTTTTCTTGAGTCAATTTTGGTACTTAGTATTTCTATAGAAATCTATTTGCTTGGTGCAGGTTATCACTTTTGTTATTGTGAAATTTTCTTTTATGTCTACAGTTATTGTCCTTTCCCACTTCACATTTATTTACCTGTTTTGCCAGAAATTTGCCTATCTTATTAGCCTTGTTTTTTCTGATTTTCCTTCAGTTTCGCGTTGCTGCTGATTTTCCTTGACCCCTGCTCTTTAGCCTCCCTCCTTTTGTCACTCTAGGCTGCTCTACTGATCTTTTGTTCATCTTTAGAGTTGAATGGGGAACTCATTCTATTTTTTTTTCAACTCACTTTTTGAAATCAGTGTTGTTTGTGATGAATGTATGTAAACCCTAGCTGGGTCCTACCAAATCTGGTGCTCCACGTTGAGGCTATGCACTATCAGGAATTTCATATTTCTCTTTATGGTTTGCCTTTACCTAGTTTGGTTAGGTGTATTGTTCGATGTCCAGGTGTAAGATCTTTCTAAATTCACTTTTAATTTTATTATATTATTATAGAAAAACAAGTTCTGTGATGTTGACTCTGGAGTTTACTGAGGTTTCCTCTGTGGACTGGCACGTACTTGGCTTTCCTTTGAGTTCCAGGTATGATCCAAAGTAACTTTCCTGCTGGGTGTGACATTCCCTATGAGCCCAAGGTAAATACCCATGACATTCCACTCTTCCAGATCTTTGTTCACTCTTCACCTTGTTGGTTTGACTTGTTGGTTTTTGAGAGGACTGCACTGAGATTTCAAAGTGTATTTTTTGATAAGTTTAAATCTATTTGACAAACATCTATTTTAATTACTGGTATAGTAGGACTTAACTAAGCTTTTATTTCATATTTCTATTCGTATTTTCTTTGTCTCCCATTTTCCTGACGGAATTTCTTTTTAGCTTCCGTAAAGAATTTTAGTTTTCTCTGTCAATTTTATCAGTTTCTTAAAATGTTAGGTATCTATCTCCCTGACTCTCCGACACCTGGTCTGAGTCCTCAGCCTGCTCACCCATCCATCTGGTTTCCCTCCTTATCTCGTTTGCAACCTCATCAGCGAAGCTGGTATCCCTCCAGAGCTTGATATGGGTGTTCAGGGCCGGCCTGAACTGCACACGTAGTGAGCCCCGGGTGCATGGTGGCAACAGTCATTTCACTGGAACCAAGTCCCTATGTTCCTTCTGATGTCACATAACAATACGGACTGACAATACTGGTGGAACTCAAGAGTGATGACTTCTGTATTTACACCCAAGTGCTGTGTATAAAGCTACTAAGCTGGGGAGAGAGGGTGGCAGAGTGCTCCTCCAGGTTCTGCTTCCGAGAGCACAAAGCATCCGAAGCTGCACTTAGAGTGGGCTCTTAGTGTGGGCTCCACTGGGGCCCAGGACCCTGCTGAAAGTCTGCCAAGATCTGTGCTCATGCTACTTTGCTAGGGAGAAGTTGCCAATGGATTCTCACAGGTGTTATGAATAGAAGAGAGTAAAGGAAGACTGGTGAGAACATGCAGAGGCCTGTGGTCAAGAACAAACCTCACTTCATCATGCCAGGCAAGCTGTGCCCCTTCTCTTGAGCTACAGGCTCCTCAGGGTACTGTGGAGGGATTCGTGAAATGATTTTGAATCCACCTTCTCATTCCAAAACACCTAGACAAAGAAAAGGAAGAAGCAACCGCTCAGGCTCACAATGACCTGGGGCCTCAAATGTCTGGTCTTTCAAATCACAGAGGAGCAGGCAGTCCTAGGTCTTGAGGACATATGGCCAGTTCCTACCCAACAGCTGTGACAGATGCGTTCCTCTTAAATTACGGTCACATTCAATTGCAAGGAAATTCGACTGACTACTCTTTCACTGTTATTACTGTTTTGTTGCTGGTTTTCCTGAATAAAACCAAAAAACATCTGCCAGGAGTGTTGGTGCACGCCAGAAGGATCGCTATGAGTTTGAGACCAGCCTGGGCTACAAGGTGAGTTCAAGGCCAGCTTGAACTGCATAGTGAAGCCCTGTCTCAAAAACACATAAACTCACACAAAAAACCCCATCATATGACTGCCTTATTCTTAGGTAACGTTATCTTAAATTCACATGACTCCTCACATAATCTTTGGGACAACACTGAGTAGCTCATGGCAATGTTATTTTGGAATATTAGCAGCCCTTCCCCCCAAATCCCCACCCTCTCCACATGTACTGTTGCAGTTATCTGGATGTTGTCCACTGAAGGTGGGAGAGGGGGTACGATAGAGAAATGGAATCCAGACAGATGTCAAGAGTCTTCCAGAGACTTTAAAAATAAAACTGATATTCACCTATCTGGAATGATTCTACTTCTCTTAAGCAGAGAAAAGAAAATGAACGATGGAGGGCCTTGCTATGCCAGTGGACTTAAGTATCAGACATTCTGAATCGCTCAAAATTACAGTAGAAGCAAGGTAAAGGCATCTCACCCCACGCACAAAACTATAAGCACATAATCACTGTCAGTGATTTTAAGTACTGTGAGTAAAGACCGATTGGCAGATTTTCCTGGTTACACCTTGTGAGAAACCAATGATATTAGTAAGTATTCCACTCTGCACTTGCATGTTTTTGAACTCAAAACTTACTGCCTTTGCTTTCAAACTTAAGATTCAGAAATTCGCAGAATATTTGCAATAAGAGAATAGGGAAATGTTCTTGCCTTTCAATTTGAAAACACTTGTGAATACTGACTGAAATCATGAAATTCCAACACCCACCCGTGTTCATGTTATGTAGAGTTGGGGAGATAGAAAGAAACGGTCAACTGTCACTTAAAAATACACAAAGACTGGACATGCTATATATATTTCTCTTTTAAAATGTAGTCTGTATTATTTTTCACCAATCAAAACACACATAATATATTTTATTATAAAACATTAGGCAATGTTACTTTTGAGATATGCAATCTGAAAGGTCACACCTGTATTTACGATCAGCATGAAATACCAGAGGAGTTACATCAGAAATCAACCAGATGAACTCATACACTGTCATCATGACGTACACAGCGTTCAGTCAGATTAAACCAATGTCCCATTCAGTGTTTCAGATACGGCTCCTGGGTGTCAGCAAGGGGCCCTGCCGAGGGCTTTCTTCTTTCAGCACTGGGCTTCCAAGTTTCCTGTTCCAAAGATACAGCCTGGCTCCATCTACAGGCCCAAAGCTGTTGGACGCCGTGTAGCCAGTGTTTCTAGACTTTCTCCTACCTGACAGGATTCTGCCTGTCCAGGGGAACCTGCATGTGAAACTGAGGCCCAGACACAGGAGGCAGCCACTTTCCTTTGGACTGAAAACTAAGCCAACAAAAGAAACAAACCTAGTCCAAATTCCAGGATAATCAGAAATTACCTGGTTTATAAAAATACAAGTCCAAAATAGTTACTTCCAGGGTTGTGTACAATATAAATTACAAAAATAAAATAGAAAAGATGAAAAAGTTGAGCACATTTTTCAGTTCTTTATCCAACATCAGCACTTACCCACAGAGATCAGGTCGAAACTGCCGCACTGTGCCAGGACCCTGGCTAGTCTAGGTGCAAGAGGAGGGCCCTGAAACCGGGGTGAGGTATTTCTACAGAGCTCTGTGCCTGTCCTGGCCAAAGGTGCCTCTACCTGATGGGAGAGGGTCCTGGCAGGAGACCCAGTCCACACCAGCAAGGGCTCCCTCAGTGACAAGAGGCCTGCTGGATGTGCAGAGGAATGGATGAGCAGAAGCCACTCTGCTGGGGCTCCTGCTCCACTCACTGGTGTGGCCTGGCAAGTTGGACCTGCCAAGCCCTCTGCATGGCGTGCCTCTACCCGCATAGGGCAGACGATGCAGTCTAAACGCTCTCTTTTCTGTTTTTTTTTTTTTTTTTTTTTCTTTTTAAAGATAGATTTAGTGAAGTCTTTTAAAAGAACATGTATTAGAGAGAAGGCCATTGTAAGATGTTTATATATGTATAGTGATAACTTTCTTAACTGTAACAGCAGGCCTCCAGAATTAAGTAATCCAAAACTATGTAATAGGCATTTCTTCTGCCTCCATCCAAGTTAGCATTTCCATTTTGTACTTGAAAGTGTCTCAATGACACGATATAAAACTATTTCTCATTTCAAGATTACTTTTGTTCATCAAGGGCTCCAGTTTCCAGTGGTAAAACCAACCATTAAGATACAACTGGTACAGAAGGAATCATCTACTTCACATCATATGCTTACGATAAACTTTCTCATCAAAGCTTCTCTTCAAGACACATCCTATAGAATGCTGACCAAACAGCTTCCAAAATAATTAAACACAAGCTATGAATCGGTAACAAAGTAAGCTCAAGGGAGACAACATTCCGAGCACAGATAGACAGGATGTGATAATCGTAACTCCACTTCTGCAGTAACACGCAATACTCAGTATCTTAATGAATTCTGAATAATTTACATATCAGGAAATCTAGAAGTATCGATTTCAGGTGAGCAGTTTTACATCAGAAAATACTCAGCAATGAATCACTCCTCTAGAGGGTATTTCCCCTGTACTCCTCGGAAGAGTTTCCCAGAATGTCCCTGGCTCCCCTTCAGAAAAGGAAATGCTCCTTTAAAATGGAAAGCAGGCAGCACACAGGCCTTCTCAGTTAGCCTGGCATCCCAGCACACACGAAGGAGGACTCGCCTGGCTTCTGTGGTGAAGGGAGAAAACCGAGCCAGGCTGCGATGCTGGCAAACGAAACTGCCGCTTTGTGGAATCACCATTTCCCTCTGAATGACGGAGTGAGGAAAGGACCAGCCAGCTTCTGGCACAGGAAGCACTTACTTGGTAAACGACTGCAATGGTCCTGAGAGACCATTTTATAAAGCTCTACTCTAATAGGCGAAAGATTCACAAGTGTATTTGCCAGTGTGTTTATTGAGATGGTGTGTTGTGTGTCTGGTAAAGAAGGTGAAATTCTAGGCAGCATTTTAAATTAATCATGAGTCCAAAAGACCGAACAAGGGAGAGACAGAAGGGAGACAGGAACTCCAAGGTGTGCACTTCCCGAGCAGCATAAACAGAACCGGAAATGTCGCCATGCAGTAAAGCTGATGTACAGTCACACCAGATTCGACACTTCAGAGGAAACAGTGCCCACAGAACAGTCTTGGTTTTACCAGTGACAATTCTCAGTTCAAAATATCACAAATTTAAGGAAAGCTGTATTTTTATTTATTAAATAGATTTAATTATATTCCTTCTGAAATACAAAAGATAGAATAAATCATACCATCAGAGAGGGTAAGATATGATAATATGATGGTGGCCAACTGATACACATAAATCTATTTTTTGACAGACAACAAATTAATTAAGAGGATAAAGAGATCATTCTAGACGCAACACTACCTAGAAGATTATTTGGTATTTAAATACTGATTTCCAAAGTGCTAGGTGGGCAAGTCCAAGCAAGCATTTGTGGTCACATGCACGTAAGACCCAGCAGTCACGGATGATGAGAGACTGTCACCACGATTACCATACAACCTGGAAAACTTCACCTATTCTAATTGCTCACCTGAAATGATCTTGAACAAAATCCCTAACGTGTGGCTTGTGCATTTTTCTTCAGACATAATCTGCTTCATTTTATAATCTAGGCAGGCAAACCTATTGGAACTGAGTAGGGGCAAGGCATTGTGTTTCTTACATGCAGAACACCGGGTTTTTCTATTTGGTTCCATCGACTCCCACGCATTTCAGGACCATGGAAGCAAGAGTTCCTCTGCTGATAACAAGTCTGCTCTTTCCAGCTTATCATCGACAACCTTCAAGAGGTCCTGTGGAGGCATCAAGACTGCTGTCTGTGTCTGAGGCCAGCGTCTGCTCGGTGGACATGGACGAGATGTCATTGATGGAGGACGACTGAGAAGGCGTGGCGTTGCTACTTACTGCTGCATCTGTGCTAAGAAAACCAAACAGAGTAAAATCTGAGGCACGACATGGCTGCAAACTCAGGCAACAAGACTCGCGGCTACTTCTTGGCTCTGTCGGTTTGCAGTCTCCTAGTCCCATTAGTACAAGCAAGAGGTCAGATAACTGTGTATCTGGAGCTCTTCCTTGAGTCTGTCTTCAGGTCCAGCATTGCAAATTGCCCCACGGCATTTGCCCCATGGCATGCTCCTTCTCTACCCAGTGACTGAGCGCATTTGCAGTCATGTATAATCATGTTAATTACTTTTACAAACACTTGATTTCAAACAGGTCTTGGGCAACTAAATTAGATAAAAATATTATAGGCAGTCAGATAGGGTTAGGCCCTCAAAGGAGCCAGTGCAGAGGACCAGCTACCTTATAACTGTGGGAGAGACACGCACCTCCACTGTGGGCCAGACCTTACGACAAAGATAAAACAAGTGCACCCATATACTTCCTAAGGATAAACACCAGGGAGTGATATTTTAACCAGGTATCTATCACCTTGAGAAAGCCAGGAAGAGCCACTAACCCCACCCCTTACAAGAAAAGCCCGTTCTGTATTCATACCCACTTGCTACATGACTTGCTTCCCCATTTGATTCTGATTTAATCAATTTTACCTGAGCAGTTATACTCATAATCTCATTGTTTGACCACAGTTTTGTCTCACCTTATACCCACCCTGTAATTTTCCATTTTTCCCACCTTGGGCCCGCCTCATGTTGTGGATTTGCTCTATAAAGATCCCTAGAGAAGGCAGAGTCCTTGGCAACCCATCCGGAACCCCTTCTGTCTCTCTCTCAGACAGAAGCTTTCTTTCCCCCCAGTAAATATATTCTGCTCTTAACCTCTGTTGTTCCTAAAATTCATTCTTCAGTCTTAGAAAACACAAAATCATACCAGACATCTAGCAGGTTGGGAGTTTCTTTCCCCTATAGCAAAAGGACACAGCTGAATTTATCCTAACAGTATCACAAGAAGCTTAAGGCTGAATAGGATTCAAGTGTCATCAGATATATTCACTGTAATATAAGCAGTTAGGGGGGAAAGTATCAATATTCAAAATAATTCTTTGTGCTAAAAATACTTTCTAAAATAAAAACTGTACACCAAAAAAAGAAACAATTTAGTGCCATCTTATCCATTTAATTTTTGCTTTATGAACTCAGAAAACTGACATAACAATTTCTGAAGACAAATGAAGCTATCCCATTTCCTATTAGCCATGTTTTAGTCTGGTTTGAGCAAAAACAAAACTTTTAGGCGTTCACAGATTAGTGTTTGCGGTTTTAAATTTACTCTTAGTTAAAGAAGCACCTAGATTCTTGTTAACATTATATAATCTCCAGATGCCTAACACATACTCATGCTGAATACAAAATAAAGACTAAGAAGAAAGCTCTGTGTTTTATGTATGATTTCAAGTGGGAACGAGAAAATAAATGTAACTGAAGAGTTTCCTTTAGTAACCTGCACACAGATTAACACCATTAGTACAAGAGTACTGTCTCCCAGAATCACATGATTATCTAGTAATGGGTTTCTAGCACTGGATAGGTCCAGTTTAAAAATGGGAGAATTATATGAATAATTTTTTCAGAAGAAAACCAAATCCCATTTTACCTAGATTTGTATTAACATTCTTTTTAATTAAAAAAAATTAAAAACAGATTAAAAAAAATGGATAGGACCAGTACAAAGAAGGTTGTGAATAATGAAAAGGTTTTAAATTCAGTTTCTTCTTCTATAAATGCAGCTGACAGCAACTGTCACAAGGATGAAACAAGAATGTTTAAAATGCAGTTAGTTCAATTCCTGGAAGATTAGTAAAATGTTAGCCACTGCCACCACCAAACTACCAGCGCAAGACAAAAAGGAGAGGCCAATTCACACAAACAGCTTTTAAATCCACTGGTGGCCATACAGGCATTTAACACATTGCTGCCATTTATAAAAGTTGAACAGGCAAAGACAACATTATATAATCACACAACTAAAGCAATCACTAACCTGAAGGTTGATCTTTCACGACACCATTCTTGCTTCTTTCTTCCCAATCCATTACTTCTTTGTAAATTAGCTCTTTAAATAGAAATGTAAGTTAAAATACTTTGTCAGTTTCTTTACATCTCTAAATTTTGCTTCCAAACTAACTGAAACCATTCTAAGGGCACTGTGACATGTTATCTCAAATTGTGATATACAAAATTATTAATACGGTTTACCTAGACCAAAACATCTGTATTACGATCCATTATATCTTTTCTTTTCTTTTTATTGCAGTGCCATGAATTAAACCCAGGATCTCATATATGCTAGGCAAGACCTCTACCACTGGTCTATATCCCCAGTCTTTCAGTGAAACTATTAAGGCATCAAAAATGTAGGGTTATTCTGAATCCACATAGAGATTTTACACACACACACACACACACACACACACACATGCATACACACACACGGAGAAACAGAAGCAGAGTAGCGCCACCTGAATGTGCTTCTTTCCATGATTATTTGTGGGTTCTCCAAATGGAACCAGTACCCACATATGGGCTACAAGCTCCTCTAGACTGGGCAGAAATGAATCGACACACCTAGGTCTTATCTTGTCTTCAACTTCAGTTTCCCACAGCTTTCACTGACAAGAACAACAAATTGTCTACCAATATTTGATAGTGTAAAATCATGTGAAAAGCCCTTATAGTTCACCCTGAAGCAAACAGTCTGAATTCAGACAAAGTCCTTTCTAACACTGTTATCTCCAGTTCTTTCTCTACTAGACAGGGTGAGAAGGGGTAAGGGCATGGCAGTGTGTGCTGCCCATTCTAGAGGGGCCGGTCTTAAAAGAATGAAGAGCCTCTGCTTTGCAAGATTATCAGAATGTCCTAAGAAAGGATCAAATCAGGCTGCCTTTACCTTTCCACTCTTCGATTGCGTGTTCTCTTTCTTCCAACTGGGCATCGTAAATCTGAGGTGGTGGCTAAAAATTAAACAACACGTGAAGGCAATAGTTGAAAGAATAAAGAAGCATGAAGTAAAAGTAACACTACTTGGAAAATTTCTGGTGTACTTACTAATGGATTTAGTGTTTTTAACATGATTTATTAAAGATTTTATCGTAACTGTGGTACGATATCAGTGTCAGAATCAAAATAAGGAAAAATTAACCCAAAAAAGAGAGGTATTAGTATTAATCTTCTTAATAATCACGTGACCTCAAGACACTACAGACATCTGTCCAACGTAATTACAAAATTAATAACCACAGGCTGCTTCCTGGAGCTGCCTGGGCCAAGCACTGTGTGTGAGCTGCAGAGGTGCAGTCGCTTATCACAGTGCGCTCCAGCTTCCCATTTCTTCACGTAGGACTTTCAAGCCCAATCCCCAGCTCCGACTGTTCTGCAAGACTGCTCCCAAGTCCCATTCTTCTGATATCAAACAATGTTTAAAATGGTGGTTAAATCTGTAGCTCAGACATAAAATATGTTTCATCCATGGCACGGCAAGCACACACCTGTGCTTTTCACTTCAGCTGGTGGTAATCAGGCAGGCACCTAGCACAGGAAGCCGGCAGGAGGCCTGGATGTCTTGCAGAAGGGTAAACAAATCTGTGACTTCCAGCAAGCTTCCCAGCCTCTCTGGCTGGGGCCTATACAACAGGATATAACCAAAGCTCATGGATGCTCAGTAAATTATTATTATTATACATCAGCATTTGCATAAATGAAGGCAATTATTATTATTATTTTTTTGAGACAGGGCCTCACTAGGTAGTGCGGGCTGGCCTTGAGCTCACTTATGTAGCCCAGATTGGACTCAAACTCATGGCAATCCTCCTGCCTCAGCCTCCCAGGATCACAGGTGTGTGCCACTACGCCTGGCAAATGAAGGCAATTATATTTCCACACCATTAGCATGTTCACTCCTGAGGTCCTCTGAGCTGCAGCCTCAAACACAAGTGCCCCCAACGGGGTATGAACCCAGGTCTCAGCCCTTGGTTCTTTTCATAGTTAGGAGCCCTAAAGTCTACAACATGCTATCCTTATTTGGCACTAAGGCTAACAGAAGAGCAAGGACAGTGACCGCTGCCTGTCAAATGAGGCTTTTCCAAACCAGCACTCACCGCCTCTGCTTCAGCAGGATCATACCACACAGTAATGTAGGGGTGGCGCAAGGCTTCATCCACAGAGACCCGCTTGTCGGGGTCGATCACTAACATGTTTGATAGCAGGTCTCTGGCTTGGCTGGCTGGGAAAACAAACACTAGATTAACATCCTAGTGCCGCTGATCCAAAACAAAGGAAACCACTCCATAAAGAACTAAACGTGACAGCACAGACAGATGAAGACAAACTGACGTGAAGAAACACTCGATAGTTTCCAGATGGAGAGTCCAACAACTTTTAAGAAATAGTTGAATGGCCACTCTCACAACAAACCAGGTTTTCAGCTGGTTGTGTGCCCTGCACGTGAGAAGGGAGCAGGGGGACCTGGTGTGTGGGTGGAGGGCACCAGGCAGCCTCAGACCAGTGTCCAGTTAGGACTGAGGCAGAGAAGCCACGACAGGAAGCGGCCGCGTGCTGAGCTCAGGATGGCGGTGCCAAGCATCGGGGGAGTACTTTTTCATGTCACATGCAGATGAAATCGGAACAGACTCTCTGAACCACACAATACTCTCACAGCCCACAGTACACTTCACAGATGCCTCTGCTCTGCCACTATCTGCGTACAGTGGTTACAACATACACTTTTTTTTTTAAATCTAGAGATTAGTAGTTAGGAAAAAGCCCCAATAAATTTAATAATAGTTACATATGAGGCTTAGCTGGGTTCTGACAATTAATTTCACAGCAAAGGAAAGACTGGGGCTTTTCCAAGGCACAGCTTACCTTGATATGGTGGGAAATAAATCTATTTTTGTCATCAGGCATCATAGTTTAGGGTGCAGGAGAAGAGTAGGGAGGACCTTATTTATTTATTTATTTATTTATTTATCTTTTTGAGGCAGGGTCTCGCCATGTAGTTCAGGCTGGCCTTGAGCTCACTTTGTAGCCCAGGCTGGTCTCGAACTCACGATGATCCTCCTGCCTCAGCCTCCGAGTGCTGGGATTACAGGTGTGCGCCACCACGCCCGGCTCTTAAGTATTCTTTATATCTGAAATTTTTAAAAATTCTACCTGCTGACAGTGTAATATAAGATCTTTAGAACTGCTCTGAGTATTTTAGTTTTGGCCAAAAACTTCAGTTAAGCTGTTGCGCTGAGGGCAAGACTTTAAGCCTTCTCTCCATACTGCCTTCATACTTCAGCTCTGTAGCCTACAATTGACTTTACTTCAGGGTGTCCATTATTTTACAATTTTATATAAATTTTAGAATATAAACACGAAAAAAAAAAGTGTCACCTGGATTAAGAAAACAAGCATTAGAATAAAAGGATATCTTACTTTTTATTTTGTCTCGTTCAGATTCTGATGGGAATATCCAATCTGGAAAGAGTTCTTCAAATTTGATTCCAGGATACTTTGGTCGATTTTCTACATAATTTCTTACAGTTGGTTGAAGTTTTTTCATGAACTCCGCTGATGGTGTTCCCAGCTGCTCAATAACTTTATTCCACTGATCAATATCTAAGAGTTCTCTTGAGGAAAATACAACTGAAATGCCTTATATTCATGTTACATATAATAGCATCATTTGAAGAAAAATTATGTTTCTACTTATGGACAAATAAGTGACCCATCCCACTAGGTCAGCATTTTGAAATAATACTCAGGTAAGGTTTGGCTTCCAAATTAGACTTTTTGTTGTTGTTGTTGAGACAGGATCTCACTGTGTAGTTCAGGCTGGGCTTGAACTCACCTCCTGCCCCAACTTCCCAAGTGCTGGGACTATAGGTATGCATCACCACACCTGGCTAGACTACTTTTTAAAACTGTTAGACTCTATATATTCATAAACTATAACCACAGTTGATTAAATCAATACAATGAGATCTACATAGCTTTCTATTCTAGTTCAAAATAAAGTTATGAGGGAAATAAACCTATGAGAGAAATGATCAAATGTGAAATTAAATAAACATTTTTTTAAAGCAAGATGAAATCAATTTTCCTAATAAAGCTACTAAATATTCACAGCTCTTTAAAGGACAAAGGAACTTAAGAAAACTACATGACCTCCTAATTTTATAGTTGGCCCACTCAAGCCCTGTGGACAGCCTGGCCAGGTATGGCATAATGAGGGAGGGGGCAGGAACCAGGGCTCTGGCCTTTCTCTCCTTTGGCCTACTCCTCTCTCACGGCACCATATTCCTTCCTAAAACCAGCATGTGACTAAGCAGTGACAGCTTTGAGGCCATTCTGTTTCACCTGGCATTGACTCATTCCAACCATCCGTATAATATCCAGTAATGTATTCTATTTCCTTTCGAAGGCATGACCTAGGTTTGAATGCTGCACTAACCACTCAGAAGGTGCAGGGAAGTCAACCTTTCTTGGGGGCAACTTCCTTTTTTGTACAATATCAATAATACCAGCTTTGCCTGGCTCACACAATAAGGCTTGGCATAATTGGGGTAAAGTGAGTGGAGAGTGATACTGAAACTATAAACAGCTATGTAAGAGCGCAAAAGCAAACAGCTGCTGAAAGAAGTGACTAAGGAAGGTCTTAGAAAAATGAACTTCCATCCCTGTGAAATCACCTACGGCCAGACATATGATCTCAGTTCTTCCAAAATGTTATGCTTTAGAAGACCTGCTCAGGAAATGACAAATTCAAATCACTAGCCAATTCTCCTTTATTTCTGTTTTGAAGAGTTTGCCAAATCAGAATGATGCATACATTTATTTACCTATTTAGCAACATGTGAAACCTAAATCACATCTATCTCTCCTCATACACTTTCAACATTTCTTCCTGTGCTAACTCCTAACGTGGAGAGGAGCCCCACGCAGGCCCTGCAACACGCCATGCCAGGGCCTGTGCTCTGTCAGGTTCGGTGCTCTGTGGCTCAGCCCCAGCCTCCCTGCAAGGAGGAGAGCCTGCAGCACGGTGCTCTGTACTAGAATGCCCCAGGAACTTTCAAACATGGTGCCTTCTGTGCCAGCACACCAGCCAGTTTCCTTTGACAACCCTCAACACCTACTAGGTATCACTCCAGTGCTCCTGTTCACAGTAAAATTCCTTTGAAGAGTGACCTATACCTATATCTCTAATTCCCACTCTTATTCTCTCCTCAACAGACTCTCACTGGACGTTCTTCCCGTAACTCAATGAAAACTGCCCATTTTCACGGAGTTATTTCTAGGCCGCCAAGGGCCACCACTGTATCTGAGATTCTGTGCTTGGTCCTCACCTCAGTCCTTGGCCCCTTCGGTCTGTCCCAGCACTCACTACCAGCTCAAGGCTGCAATGCTACTGACAGACCACTGACCCCTCTCACTTGTCTACCCTGGCCTCTTCTCTGAATTTTACTCTGGGTATTTGTACTGAGAGACGTCTCCAAATCGCTACAAGGCTCTCTGCAGGCAGATGCAGGGTTCAGGGCCTGCTCCCCACCTGCGTTCCTCCCAGCCTGGAATGAGCCTCTGCCATCTCCCACTGGACAACAGTGGTGTTGCTTCTGCCCTGCCTTGGTCATCTCCCTCAACTCTGCTGCAGTGACCCTTTTAGAACCTAAGTTGACCAGCAGGCAAGAAATGGGTGGGTGCTTGGTAACCACTGGGTCATTCTTACAAATGCAGGAAGAAGGGAAAAGTCACCTGAGCCTGGTGCACATGCGGGTGTACGCAGACATTACTGTCCTTGGACTCCCTCAACCCAGGGGCGAACCACGGGTTTCTCATTTTACAAGGGTCAGAGAGGCCCTGAGTTGCTCAAGGACACACAGCCACCCCAGGGCAAGCCTGAGCTTGGGTAAAGGGTGGCCTTGCTGAAGTTTTCTCTTTCTCACAGTCCAGAGTGGGACAGAAGTTCTTTATCTACCCAAGGCCCCAAATCTAGAGGAAATCTCTGAGAACCTTGGTCTGACTTCTAGAATCCTTTTACATCTTCCAAAGTTTCAGTGTAATGTTTGAAAAATGATGTTAGTCTCTGTGTGAATTTTGAGAATAGTATTAGGTGACCTTACACATAAACCATTAATTACTGACGTTACAGTATGTTAGATAAGGTAGGAATTTTAAATTATTAAATGTACCAAAAAGTACCAGCATTTTTCACTTTTGTACTTTTTGGAAAAATATTTATTTTTAAATAAATAAGAAAAGTCACAAAATGAGTTAGTGTTGAGACAAACTGAACATTGGCTGGATATGTTTAAATTATTAACCTTGAGTATACCCCAAGTTTTCCTTTTTTAATTGAGTATTTTACAAAATAAAGACTCCTTATTTATACTTTGAAAGATCTGAATCTGAGGTGAAGCTATCAAAAACTGCTAGAAAATTTATTAGGACAAAAGAAAATGCTATATTTAACTTTATATATGTACAATCTATGATATGTAAATGTAAAGGAAAGTGAAGTGACAATAATAGAATATTTTCATTCTATGTGTTGTGAAGAATTTAAGAAAACTGACTTCATAAAATTGTAAAAAAAATTAAATTTTCATGAAATGTATGACAAACTTTGACTATAGACCTCAATTTCCTTTAAAACCAACCACAACCTGCCCACTGTAAAGACCATTTTTAAACTTTCATACAACAAAATCAAAGAGCAATGAAAATAGTAAGAGGTTAGAATACAAATGAAAAGGGGTTTATGTAAAGAACCATGTTAGGGGTAAAAAATATTAAAGACAGAAGAATGATTGTGAGAAAAGAAAGTATTAGAACTTTTATGTTACCTACCCTATCTTTACACTATATCATCAATGTATTTGTTGACCACAACGTGAGTTAATTTTTTGCATATTTAACTTTCCCAGTGTGTCACAAAATAACCCTCGACACAAACTTTAAAAAAGAAATTCTGTAATATGTCAGTGGAATCACAAATTATTCCTCACAAAATTTTCATTTGTACCATTTCCATGTGGGTCTCACAGAATGTGCTTCAGTTCTTACTATGGAGGAAAAAATAAGATATACCAATAACTAACAAAATACATTAACTAAATCATATAAACCATTTAGATGGCAGCTTTCCTAGCTAATCTAATACGATGAACTAAATTATAATATGGCATCTTCATTTAAGTATCAGAGCAGACTTATTAAAGAGCAAATAATTTTTTCTATATGTCCAGTATTTTTGATAAAATTAACAGCTAACAGAATTGATTTAACTTAAATTTAGATCTCAACAAAATCATCACAGTTGAGTGAACCACTTGGTTTGTGATGCTAAGGGAACAGACGTAACAAAGACCCCTTGGAACACTGTTTGGCTTTGCGGCATTTTCCTTTGCACGTTCAGGTGAGCAGGTGTGATCAAGCTGCCCTTGGCATGGAAAGCATGGCAGGGCCGAGGTCCTGGGGAAGGATACGGTCAGTGCCTTGGAATATCACACAACCTTTCACCAGCTCTCCCATGATGCAACCCACTGACCAGATATCAACTGAAAATAAAATGAAATGATAAAATTATGAAGGCCATGAACAAAACAAAGGTGAGGAAAAAGGAAGTCTAACAGCGTACTAAACACACAAATATGGAAAAATAAATTGCCAGCTAAGGGTGAACTTTTTACATAATTTAAATGATTGCTGACCTCTATTTTAGCTTTCAATGTGCAGCAATCTGAGGTTTTAGTGCCAAAGAGTCCAATACTTTACAGCTTAAAAACAAAAACAAAAAAGAACAAAAACCAGACACAAGACATGCCTATAAATACAAAGCTTTCAGGGCCACGTCCCCACCCAACCCCCAGCCTCCATGGCCAATGCTGGGTCTCTCCCTGTGAAGGATACAGTCTCTTCCTGGGAACAGGACTTTATGGAGGACCATTTCTGCCATGATGCACCCGACCGACCAGATGTCCACTACCAAACACCAGGTAATTAACAACCAGCTAGTGAGTCCCACGCCTCTTTTCTCCAACCCCCTCCCAGGCAAGGGCAGACCCAGTACATCTCAGCAGCTCCTCAGTGGGAGCTTGTAAAACACTGACCCCACTGCAGCTCCTGAATAGTCACTTCCTAAACTGTCACTTCAGAGAGGCAGCAGTGCTGCGCAGCAGTGGGCTGAACCCAGGTGGGCTTGCTGGCTGGGCTCCAGGCAAGGCCTCGCTCAAGGGCTCCACGGGGTTCGTATCCTGAGTGGGGCCCCGCTGAACTCCATGCCTCAGCCAGCACAGGCAGAGCTACCTAAGTGTGGGCATGCATGGGGTGAGGTTAACAGGGATCTGATGAAGCACCCCGAGCTGCACCTCTCAGGGTAGGAGCACAGTTTACAGAGAGTTAAATATGTTCACAGCTAAACTGATTTCAGAAGACTCAAGCAAACTTGCACTCTTTTTTTCCCAAATTAAATATGTTATAGCTCAACAACTTTGTTAAAGGCTACGTTTCAAAATGCTTTTATATTGCCAGAATAAGTGAAGTTCTGATGCTAAAAAACACTAATTTTATATAAAAGACAATGTGCTGCATCAGTCCAGTTATATCAGGTTTGAAAAATTACCAAGGCCACCCTGTAGTTCTGGAAATTGGAATAATGGCCAGCCACCTGCGGGTTGGGGCCTAGCGGAGGCCCAGAAGGCCCTGGGCACTGCTGGTTACATGGGTGTGCTCAGGGAAGCTACACCTTAAGTGTGTACACGGTTCTATACGTAAAGTAAGTGATGCTTAACCAATGGAATAAAAAATGCATGATTTCTTTTTTGTGGATTATGATAACCTGTGAAACATAGTCCCCACACTGTATTCTGCACAGTGCGAAAGCTAGTGATGACCTCTAGTGCTACTCTGAAACCCCACAGGCTCTTGCAGTTCTGTCTACTCACCGTTCTCTTTGTAGCCCATGCCCAGGATGACTTCAGGGGCCCGGTAATACCGAGTTACCACATAGGGGGTCATCATAAAGTTGGTGCATGCTGTCCGGGCCAGACCAAAGTCAAGGATCTTAAGGGTACAATCTGATTTGACTACAATGTTGCTAGGCTTCAAATCCTAGGAAAAAAATCATTTTTAAATAAAATGAACCAAAGCATGCCAATGGCACAGTTTCACGACTGAAGTCTGTGAGCAGACAGGGAGGAGGACAGGCAGAACTGACCCTGAGATTGGAGAACAATTTTGGAAACTCCTATTCTTAGACTTCAGGTGGTCCCCTTCACCCCACTCTAGGGCCGGGCCTGGGAGCCTAGGTCACTGACTACAGCTCCCCGGCCCTGCAGGGTGCCCCGCACACATCCTCCTCCCAGCCAGCGCTCACTCTGCCCTCCACACTGGTCTGGCTTCGGCTCCAGCCTTTCGTCCCCCTCCAAGGCCCTCACACTCAGCAGTCGGATCTCACTGCTCAACAGCAATGTAATGCCTACAATGTCTAATTGACATTTTCTAGCAGCCATATTAATAAATGTTAAAAGAAACAGTTGAAATTAATTTTAGTAATATATTTTATCCATCTCAGTATTCCATAGGGTTATCATTCTAGAGTGCAACCAACATAAAAATTATTAACGAGCTGTTTTACACTCTTTTTGGTACTTTAGATCAGTGTATACTTTAAAATTGTGGCCATGTCCTGAGTACTCAGAGACCTCTTATGGCAGTACAGGTCCACAATTCCCTGGCCTGAGATCTTTCTGTGGCTCCTTCTCTCTGTGGAGAGGATTCCAAGATTGCTCATCTCAATTCTTTTCCCCTCACAAGGACTCAGTCCTCCCTCACCCATCACCCCTGTTATTGGTGCCCAGCCTGGGTATAGCACAAAAGAAACAACTCTCTCCTTTTCTCATTCCTACTTCTCTTCCTGTCCCCAGCGCCCCAGGACTTGGAGCTTGCCTGACACAACACAACACTGTGTGAGAAAATGTTCAAGGAGTGAACACATAGGTCACGCTGTATCACACTACCAGGGCCTTAACACAACGTCTGCTTTTCCTTCATAACATAAGGGGCTTTCTTCGTGCTGATCCCTCACACCCTCTCCTCTTCCCCAAGCCGCAGGAATGTGACTTCTGCCTGGGAGTCCAGACTGCAAACTCTAAAGCTGTGACTTCTAAACAATCCACACCTCTTTTTCTCACGAGTGTAAACATGCAGCTGCAGTGTCACACTGATAGTTCACCACCACATGGCACAACATGGAGTACTTTAAGTGTAAACGTCAGGGTCCATAAAACTGCTCAGCACCTGACTTGAAAAACTCCCCAATATGCAGGAGTGCCCTGAGACAGAGATGCTGGGAGGTTATTAGCACAAGCAGAAAGCTACTTAAAAACTTTGTCTTAATACAATTATGTTTTCATACTCTTAAATGCTTTCTAAACTTCCTGGATTCTGTGACATATAAAGGGTAAATATATAATGTTTAAAAATGCAATGATAGTATCTGTCCAGTCCCTCTAGTCTACCTCAGGGAAAAGTGCAAGTGCATGCATCTCTCAGTGTCAGTGGAGGACTGGTCTTGGTTCTAAGACCCCCATGGATACCAAAATCTATGGAGGCTCAGGTCCCTTACATAAAATTGCCATCCTCCTGTGTACTTTAAATAAATTCTAGGTGATTTACAACACCTAGTACAATGCAAATTCTAGGTAAATAGTTGTTACACTGTATTGTTTAAGGAGTAACAAGAATAGAGTTCATGCATGTCTACCTCAGATGCAATTTTCATCTTCAATACTTCCGGCCCTCAGTGGGCTGCATGTGGGATACAGAACCCAAGGGCATGGAGGGTTGGCAGAGGTCTCTGGTCTGCAAGCTGACCTACAACTCACAGCCCAGCCACATGAACAAGGTGACAGCAGCACTGGTTCTACCAAGGGCAAAGGGCAACAGTGGAAACCATCTTTACGTGCCAGCTTGATGAACCCAAGTGATTTAAAACACATGCCCACCACTAACAAGGCCACCTGCCAGGGAGCTGTGGGTACATGCTGATTTTGCTGGAAGGACACAATTTATTGCCAACTGTGGGAAAGCTAGGATGATAAAACACGGTTCTGGGATGCCTGTGATGTGGACAGCTGTCCTTGCCTGTGGCCCTCAGTGCAAGGTATCACAAACAGGACTGTGGAGGTCCTCACTGCCTGCCAGTGGGGAAACGGGTAAAGGGCTCTTAGAGGCTTCCGAGGGCTCTCCCTGTACCACAGACTCCCCAGTCAGCTCCACAACACTGTACGTGAGCCAGCGTTCCAAAGCTTGGCAGTAAAGACACTTTGCCTCTTCAAATCTCCAGAAGCATCACAAAGAAAGAAAGAAAAACAAGCTACAGAAGACCAGTGACGCACAGGTCAGGCTTAAGCCAGAGCAGGCTGTGAAGACAGCAACGGGAGGACGGCACCTGCAGGTCAGGGCAAGAACAGCGGAGCGGAGGGCTGAGTGTGGTCACTCCCACCGACCCCACCGCTGCTTTGGCCCCCAGACTCGGGCCACTGATGGAAGAAGTGTCCTGAGGGATGGCCCTGTTCATCAAGACTGGTATCCACTGTCTGGATTTCCCTGTGCCCCCAGGCTGGTTCTCAGCCAGGAACTGAGCAGGCAGGAAGGACTGAGGCAGCTCCGTTCCGTGGGACACTAGAGTCCACTGTGGTGACTTGAGGACTCCACGGTACAGCCAAAGCTTTCCTGGAGCGCCACTGTCCCCGCAACTGTGTCCTTGTCCTTCCTTCCACCTGCCCTCCTCCAAGGAGTAAGGCCTGCACTGTCCTCCGACAGCTTCTCCACCTCTCCACCTTGCTCCAATCTGCACATTTAATTCACCGTCGGCTGTGGATGCTCTCAATGGAAAACCCAGCACTCTGTGGGGCTGGAAGTGGCAGAAAGTCCCGGATTCCCACATTCGCCCCAAAGACAGGCACCTGCTGCTTCCTCACCTTAGCTGCTCTATTAACTGGAAATCGTGAAACTGCGTTTTCTGACTCAGGGCTCACAGGCACAGTCCTAGCTGATGCACTGCTGCGGGGCACAGGGAAGCAGGGCAGCGGCCCAGCCTGAAGACAGAGCTCTTCAGTCAAAGTCTCTGTTCTGCCCAACCCACGTAACCCTAAAAAACCAGCAGCCATGCTTCCGTCCTCTGCAGGTGACTGGGAAGCATTTTCTGGAAAAGCTAATGGCCCCCAGAAAAAGACCTGCAGACAGAGATGTGCGTGGCTCGCTGCTGCTCTAGAGAGAAAATGATTCATCACATTTTCTAATCATGCACTCAGAACTTCTAACGCTTTAGACCTGAATGTGACCAGACGGCCAGGGGTGGCTACACATTTGGGAAAAAGCTTTCCCGTGACAGAGACGATGGAAAAGGAACTCGGAAAGAGGAAAACGATGCAAGAGTGAAAAAAAACGAACCTTCAGAGATGGGAGTGCACCCGCGCGACAAGAACAGAGTGCTACGAGACAAAGAGCTGTCAGGGGTAAGAGTACAGCCGCCTGGTGCTTCACAGAAAGCGTAAAGAGCAGAGTAAAGCGGGCATTCTAAAAAATGCAAATGTCTTACTGTAACATCTCTAGACTGAAGGAGCATATGCCCAGCACAATTAATGGAAAATCGTAGTCCTTATCAAGGAAAGGGATAAAGAAATAACTTCAGATTTTCCCAGAGACAGAACCACAACAAAACTAGGGCACCATGAAGGACAGTAACATGGCACTGGAAAGCTCCAGAGCAACACCAGGTGCCTCCCTACGCTGGGGTACAGACTGTAGGCACTGCTCTGCGGGCAACTAACGTGTAACTAAGAATTCTACATTCAGCCAAACTGAGAATCATGGCAGACGCCAGAAGACAGCTTCAGGCACTGGAGGCCTCTGGAGACTTCCACTGGCACTGCAGACTTTCCCTCCTGCACACCGTTTTTGGTGCGGGGGTAGGAGGAAGTACTGGGAATCAAACTCAGGACCTCACACTTGCCAGGCAGACACTCACACCATTTTGGCGGAAGACACTTCCCATTAAGACAAGAAAATAATCGGAGACAGAAAAAAGACACAGAAGGCTACAAGGAAAGTCAGGATGTGGGAAATCCAGCATGGGAGGGAGTACGAGAGAATCCCAGGAAAATGCTGGGTGGGCTCTGGGGGTGTCCAGGGTAACCCGCTGCATCAGGCACATGGGCAGCAGTCCAGATGGGAGCCAGACTGAGCTCCAAGACAGATTTGCTAAGAAGATGAAATACCCAAGACGGCTGGGTGCAGTGAGTGAAGATTTAGACACCTGGCAGAAACCCTAAGGCTATATTAGCAATAGAACACAGAGTATTACTTCCCCTTTAAAACAAACACTTCCAACTAATAAAGGGTTGTTGCTGGGCAGATGGTGCACACCTATAATCCCAGCACTCAAGAGGGTGAGGCAGGAGGATAAGCATGAGTTTGAGGCCAGTCTGGGATACACACTGAGCTCAAGGCCTGCCTGAACTGCATAACGAGAACCTATCCCAAAAAGACATGAATGAGAACTCAAGGCATAACATGTTGAAAGGGAAAGAAAGTAATCCGCGTAAAAATACAAGGCTCAGCTGTAGAAAACATGTACGTGGTCATAATGATGTGAAACAATACTGGGCCAAGGAAATTAGACTATAACTAAGCTGCAAGGGACAGGGAGAGGGGAGGCAGCAGGGACGAGGGCTGGGTCTGTAAATGGAAACCCAACCATAACCTTATGCCTCAGACTCGAAAGAGATCAGTGAACAGAGGCCTAAACACAATACTTCATGATATGGAGATAAACACTGAAATAATCAGCTTATAGAACTAAAAGTAGGGGTCCAGCTCAGTGGCAGAGCGCTTGCCCAGCATACATACTGCCCTGGGCTCCCTCTCCACCGCCACCGAACAACAAACCTGAAAGACCTCCCTCTAGGGAGCCAGAAGTGAGGAGGAGGTGGGGGACCTTCTACCAATATTTGCACAACTATACACTAAGGACACAGGTCAGCAGCTGGTTTGGCACATTGCATGGCCATTACACATGAGATGCCCTGGTCTTCCAAGTACTGTTAAAAGGGACACGGGTACAAGCAGATGCACTGGCAGAGCTGTGTTTGTGTAATCAGAAGGGAAATGCACAAAACTACTATCACAGGGTATCTCCAGGTGCTACGAGGGGGTTAGGGTATTTTCCTTTACTCTAATTTTGGAAACTATATAAAATAAAAAGTGGTGAGATTATAGTATAAAACTACTTTTCAAGTAATAAAAATTTATTCTTAATGTGAAACCACTTTAGCAAGTGAAAGTATAGGTGTGTATCTCTGGGCATGGTGCTACAGACAGAAAAAAGGACCGGTCCAGCTCACACAAGATGATGAACAAACTAAGCAGTTAATTTAAGGTTCTTCGTCTGTAGGATGTGGCCAGGGTGGGGAGGGCTGGCTGCAGGGAACTGTCATCCTTTGCTTGATATACTTGTGTGCTGTGTGGAAGTTTTTCTTAATGAGTGTGTACTGCTTTCACAAACAGATGCAAATACAAGAGGGCACCGGAGAGTGCCAGGAAGTGTGAGACCCAGTGGGTTGAACAGAGTGCAGGGTGGGTGACAGGGTCCTCTCAGGTCTTCTCTGGCCCTGTCTGAGCCGCTGTCCACAGGAGGGGACCCTCAGGGCACACATGTGCTGCAGCTCTTACGAGGCCTCCATGAACGGGGCAGATCCTTCCCCACTTATCCCTGGGCCCAGAGGGGGAGAAACAAGTAAGGCAAGTGGTTTCTCCTTCCCAACTAATGGGGCCTAACAATCTAGGAAATTATTCTAAAGCATGAATTTTTTTAAAATGTATTTAAGAGATATTAAGAATGCTTTATATTAAAGGTCTAAGAAAATTTTAGAAGGAGAAATAGAATGGTTCATCTACTTTTAATTTAGGAGCCTAATGTTATTTTGGAAACAAACTTGCCTCCATAATTTACATCACTTTAACTGACCACTGGGTGGCGACAAAGGCTACACTTTAAGCCACCGCACTCGGCAGCAAGCTGAAGCTCACAGTGTACTGGCCCTGGGAGGGTGAGGGCGCCGGCACTAGGGTGGTGGTGGCGAAACTTTTAGAGCTCACTGATGACAAATGACCTGCTGTGGCACACGTGCCATAGACTGGCCAGTGCTGCCCTCGGGAGATGCAACGGCCTTGACACCAGCCTTGCACCGCAGGTGTGAGGCTCCAAGCGGCCAGGCCTCTGGCCTCTAATCTGCTCGAGGCGACATCTGTGCTGTGATGGACCCCGCGGTCCTTGGCACCTGACAGGTATGAAAGAATCAACACCACGGTATCTACCTTTCCTATCCCAACGGGCCTCACTGTCCTCCTCTCTTCCCCACGGATTTCAGCTGAAAGAAAGCTTCTCAGTTAGAATATGAAGTCCAGTCCTGTCAACAACACTGGCACAGCACGACTCAGGGAAGGCTAAGCATATATATTCCCTATTAAACTGCATTATGTCTGTATCTAGTCTTCCTCAACACTTTAAGTGCTTAAAAAAACCGCATCATGATGCTCTACTTATCCAGCAGTACAAGTCAAAAGGTAAGAGAAACCTATTAGAACCAGCGTAGGGGTTCACATTACGTCTCCTGGTTTTTAAACGTTACTTCATCACAATTCAGGAAGCACTATCCTACTATTTGGCCTCTAACTTTCCCTCACCCCAAATCTAAATTTCTTGTTCATTAAAAAAGTGATTTCAAATATGGCAAAAATATTAACAAGAGGTGAATCTGGGTGAATGACATCTGAAAGTTCTTTGTCCTAGTCTTCCAGTTTCTAAGTTTACATTATTTAAACGCGAAAAGCTTAAAAAAATAAAAAGGCGTTTTCTGCAGTACCATCTGAGATGCAGGGGGATGTGGCCGCTCCCTCACTTCTGTGTCCTCAGCAGCTCTCATGGGCCTGTACAAACCACAGATGTTTTCTGATCTGAATGGTATTTTGAAATACATGCTTCAGTTTATTCTGATTTTTAACCATGCTAATTTTTTTATTCGTTTCTGTTGGACCTAGCAGATTGTGATAACCAAATGAGTTTTAAAATAAAATCATGATGTCACTACTTACTCTATGAATTATACCAGCTGAATGCAGATGTTTAATACCACAAAGCATCTGGTAAAGAAGGTAGGACATTCTTTCATGGTCCAGTTCCATATGAATAACCTGACATAAGTTAGCATCCATTAATTCCATAACCAAATACCTGAGGATAGGAAAAAAATCAGCCATGTTCATGAAAGTCATCCAAAATTTCATTCTGGTTATTAAGCCAGAATTGTTATGAAACAATATAACTTATTATCTGATCACTGCAGTGGTAATGTGAAAATACACTTAGTTTTTGTAAGTATTTTTGAAGCATCTGGAAAAAAATCAAATGTATAATAGAACTTTGTAAAATGTTTCCAAAGAATATAAAACCTAACTTAACCAATGTCTTCCAAATTAAAAACAAAACAGCTTTTATATCATGGCACATAAAAACTTAAGCAATTTCTCCTACTTCTTACAAATTCTTGCTATTTGATTATTCTTACTAGCAGGTGAAACACGCTGCTAGAGGCTCACCAGTCTTTAGCCAATGCTTGCCTCCAGGGGTGCACATATGTGTGGGTGCTGACGTGAGTGCAAGAGCAGCAGTATGTGGGAATTGTGGACCTTCTGCTTAATTTTACTATGATCTAAACTGCTCGAAAAGTCTATTTTCAAAAAATGATCACACAACAAGCAAAAGAAAACTTTCAACCCTGCTTCCCTGCTCAGCTCTCGCCCCATTTCGGCTCCTTTGCATGTGTAACTCCCACAGAGGTGTTTATAACGGCATCTCCACTCCTCCATTTTCCCTTCCTGCCATGCTCACCAGGCTTATGGCTCAGCACTGCTTAAAGTGTCCTCAAGGCCACTGATGACATCCATGTTGCCACACCCAGTGGCCAGTCCTACGGTCCTGCGCATCGTCCTGCCTTTCTGTGGAGTGTCCAGGAGCCAGTCCTCGGCCCTCCTCTCTCCTCTCTCTACACTCGCTTTCTTGGTGATCTCCAGTCTCACGGAATCCAGCAGCACGTCTACAACTCCCAAGTTCCGAGCTTCAGCCCAGACCGCTCCTGGGCTCCACATTCACTCGTCTCTCCGCCCCACACACTTCCACCTGGGTATCAACGGACATCTCCAAGTCCCTGTCTAGAACTGAACTCCAGATTCCACCTATTCTCTACCCCAAACCTGCTCTTCTCACCACTTCCTCCTCCAAGTGCTCAGCACCAAGCACCCAGGCATGGTTCTCACTCCTGTCTCTCACACTGCATCTCAGTTATCAGCAAACACCGTGGCTCCACATTCAAAACTACTCTGGTGTTGAGTCTCCTCCTATCATCCGATGACCCACTGAAATCTCTCAGGGGAACTGCAGTGGCCTCCCCACTGATGGTCTTGACACTCACCAGGCAAGATCTGTCCCTCTAATCTTCATTCCACCTAAATCCAAATTATCTGCAAGACCAAATCCCTCACCTCCTTTGAGGCTTTGTTCAGGTGTAACCAACAGACTTTCCTCAACTACCCTGTGACAGTTAATGTAGGTATCACTTTGAGTAGAGTAAGGAATTCTGCCCCTAAAAACCTGGCAGAGCACTATTTGGGGCCTGTCTGGGAGGACTCTCCAGAGGAGACGGCAGTGACGCTGAGTGCACTAAGCAGGGAGATCTGCCCTCAGTGCGGTAGGCACCGCCCAGCCTGCTCGGGGCCCACGGAGCCCACATACGGCAGGCGCTGAGACGGACTTGTTCTGCTGCCCCAGGCACAAGAACTCCGGACTTTCTAGCTTTGGGATTTCAGAACTTATACCTCAGCAGCACCCTGGGTCCTCAAGCCTGTCACTCAGACTAAAAGACGTACCACTGGCTTCCCTGGTTCTGAAGCCTTTGGACATGGACCGAGCTGCACTAACAGGCTCTCAGGGCCTCTAGCGTGCAAACAGCCCATCCTGTGACCTCTCCAAGTCTCACCACAGTCATGTGAGTCAGTTTTTCGAAGCCTCTTTCACATATCTATTTGCATCTCCAGAAAACCTGACCCATACACAACTGTATTCAGATTGCAACCTGCATCTCAACCCTCCAGCATTTCCAGTTCCCTGATCCAAGTCGACTTTTCTGACCACATTCTAACAGACTACCATTTTCCTTACATATTAAGTTTACTGACCATCTTTGCTGGCTTCCCTGAAGGCTCTAGCAGGGACTTTATCAACCCTTAATAAAAAGTGTTTTGCTTGTAATGGTCACTAATGCCAAGTCCAAGAGAACATGTAGCACATGTGAACAATCAAATATTTGTGGAATGGTTGAATATAGCAGTAAATTTAGGGTGAAGCTGGGTGTTCTACATCACTATGATATATTAATATTTTGCTTTACTCTTATTCAGTAATTCTACTCAAGAGCTGAGAAATAAACTCAGTGTGGTGCTATATGCTTGTAGTCCCAGCACCCTGGGAGGCTGAGGCAGGAAGATCACAAATTTAAGCCCACACTGGGCAACTTAGCAAGACCCTGTCTCAAAAATATAAAAAGGGGGGGCCGCTTGGGATGTAGCTGGGTGAGAAGGTCCCGGGTTCAAGCCCTAATACGCCAACAAAAGGTCCAGAAATGCACACTATTTAATGATCTAATAATGACATCTTTTTTTTTTTTTTTTGGTTTTTCTCCGGTACTGGGAACCGAACTCACAACCTTGTGCTTGCCAGGCAGGCGCTTTGCCGCTGAGCTAAATCCCCAGCCCCTGACATCATCATTTAAATAACGCTGAAAACACCTGAGCCCTGCAATCCTGGCTACAAGTGACTGGGGAACAGCATTTTACAGCTCAGTGAAACAGGGCGCAGCACTGGCAGCCACTGTCTGCTCTGAGCTCCTCAAGTCCCCTTCCACCGTCAGGGCGAGGGCAGCTCTCGAAGCACAGAGCAGCAGAGTGCTAAAGCCCACGTCTCTGAGTCCTGTCGCCTAGAGACGAAGGCATCTATGACACTATTGGAAAGGTATGGCCACCTACATTTCCTAAGTAAGGAAAGTAATTATTTTCTAAATTTTGTCATTGATACACAATATACTGCTGAACAAAAATGATACTTACACATCTTGAAATTCTTCTAGAGTTTTTTGTGGTGTAAACACATTTAACAAACTAATGATCTGAAAAGAGAAAATTAATTAATGCCTCAGTATGTTGGATGAATCTACTCGATCTTAACAGCTAAATCAAACATTAAAAAGATTTAAAACTAGAAAAAAATCACAGCAGAGCTCAGTATTTATTATCATATGGCTTTTAATCAAAACATTCTATTACATGGCATTTGAAAAAAGCTAAACATCAATTAAAAATACGATGCACTTTTAATCAAGCACTTTTATATGTCATTAAATTACTATTACAGAATTTAAATGCAATGTTTTTTTGGCTTTGGATGTAAAAGAATAAAAATTATGAGTCTGAAAACACTAAAGCTCTGGGGATACAGCTCAGTGGCACAGCACCTACCTGGCAAGTGCAAGGTCCTGAGTTTGATCCCCAGTACCAAAAAAATTGTAAAAACACTAACGTAGTATGTTAACTTTGAAAACTTGACTATTATATATAAATTTCTAAAAATGTTTAGAAATATGAAGGAAAAACTTGTATTTTTTGGTATTACAAAGATAAATTGTCTCACAGCATTACAACATTTACTTAAGATTCAGAAAACTGAGCAGGGTGCAGACCTCCTTCCTACCCTTTCTGGTTGTTAAGAAGGAGGCTCATTGCTCTGAGCATCACACACATATCCTCAGTCACCTGAAATGGCCAGGGGACACGACTGCTCACTGTGTAGGCCTGGGCCACTGGCTATCAAGGAAGAAATTAGTAGTGTATTCATACTGAAATCTTATGCCAAGATATACTAAAAAGGAAACGAAGATTTAAATCTAAAACATGAAACTATAAAACATTAGGACAGAGATAAATGACTACAAAGTCCTAGTATAGAAAAATCTTTTCTCAGCATGACAGGAAACTTAGGGTATTTGATTATATTAAAACGAAACCAGGGGCTGGGGATTTAGCTCAGCGGCAAAAGCACTTGCCTGGCAAGCGCAAGGTCGTGAGTTCGGTTCCCGGTACCGGAGAAAAACAAAAAAAAAAAAAAAAAAAAACAAAAAAAAAACAAAAAAAACGAAACCAAAACATACAGAACAAAATTAGTATGTCAAAAGCAACATAAATAATGTGAAATAAAAAGGTTGATAGTTCTATTATAAAGAAACTTCCAATAAATTCATAAAAAAGGGATTAACAGTCCAAGACAAAGATAGACAAAGACCATGAAAACCAAATTCTCAATAATGTAAAAATAAATCACTGGTGAACAGAAGGAAATTCAACTTCATAAATAGTAAGATATTATGTGTCATCTATCAGACTGACAAAAAAAAAAAATCAATGAAGTGCAGTATTGGGAGATTCTGAAGATATTATCGGACATTTTTCCATGAAAATATAAAACTTGATGGTCTTCCCTGAGGTCAACCTGTCAGCATTAAACTACAAGTATTCAGATTCTTTGAAGAATAAGAATTCACCTGGATAAATGTGCAAATACTCCTGTGTAAGGGTCTTCATTGCGCTATGTTTATAACAGCAAAAAACTGGAAATAATCTATCCCAAAACAGGTAATTTGTTAAATAAATTATTATGAAGCTGTATTATGCAACCATTTAAAAATGGATTATATCTATGATCATTAGAGTGTCCACTGAGGAAAAAGCAGGATGATGGATTTTGTTTATCTATACATGCACAATATGCATAAAAATGCTCACTAAAATGTTAATGCTAGAGATCTGTGGGTAGTGAGATTTAGGGGTTTTTGCTTTTTTAGATATGCCATTAAAAATTTTTAAACATAATACTTTCATAACCTAAAAAATTAAAGTAAAATAAAGCATGTATTGGAGAAATTAAACTAACTCAAACCATAGACTCAAAACAAATCCATCAATTTCATATTTAATATCCCTATTTCAAAAAGATCCAGCACAAATGTTTAAAGAAAGTGAATCATACTCAGTTTAGTGTAATTTTAAACTTTCTTTCCTCTTCCAAAAGGAGGAGGCAGTGTCTCATGAGTTGATCTCTAAAAACCTCTTCCAGATTTCACATTTTACGATTTTACCACAAGCCAAGGATATCTAAGTTATGCTTACAGACCACTAGTAGGACATATGGCATGCTCAAGAAAAACTCCATTTTCTAGAGACATATTATTAATTCTACTAAAAATTTAGTTGTGTTACTGTGGAAATACCAAGTACTGCTATCTTAAGCAAAACATTATCTAGTAACACGTATTTAGTTAAAACTGGGATTGCTGTATACAAGGCAAAAGCTATGTACACAACATTTTCCCCAAAAAATATTTAGTTGTTTTCCAACGTGTTACGTTAATCTTTGTTCTCATTTTATGAAAACAGAAATAATGAAACCAAATGGCCAAAGGATTAAATGACCATTTCTACCTTAAGTGAGTGACCTAAATTCCTCTGGAACATGAAGCATCTTTCTAATTTCAATTTCTCCAGTGTTAACTACAAATTTTATCAATAAATTAGGTAGGGTGGCACATGCCTGGAATCCCATTTATCCAGGTGAATTCTTATTCTTCAAAGAATCTGAATACTTGTAGTTTAATGCTGACAGGTTGACCTCAGGGAAGACCATCAAGTTTTATATTTTCATGGAAAAATGTCCGATAATATCTTCAATCTGGGAGGCTGAGGAAAAAGGATCACAGCTTGAGCCCAGTCTGGGCAATGTGGCGAGACCTTATCTCAAATTATAAAAAAATAAAATATAAGAGGGGTAGGGATAGAGCGCAAGGTGAATGAATGCCTTCAGTTCAAACCCCAGTACCACTAAATGGTCATTGTTATCATTAGTTTGTCCTAGGTCTGAACTCAGTGTACATCAAATGGCCCTGAAGATCATCACCTCATTAACATAAAAGCGTATGGAGGAAACTTAGATATAACTTACATTTTTATGATTGACACATTTTAAGAGGACAAGTTCACGATAAGCTCTCTTTGCATGAGTTTGATTTTGAAAAGGACGGCTTAGTTTCTTGACTGCAACATTAATCCCAAGAACTGTATCAAAAGCAGCACTATAATTAGGAAATATAATAAGCAATCCATTAGAACAGTTTTGGAAAAGCAGCAATGGAGACTATACAATAAATGTGTTATCTTTTAAAAAGTGGACAAGGACAATCCTGGTGCTTGCTCCAGCCAAGGCACAGCATTTGCACGAGGAGGAGCCAGGGATTGGGCTGAGGTCCCTGGAGGCACAGCCTGTGCCTGCAGCCAGGGAGGAGCCAAGCAACCTCCACAACCGTACTTCTGTTGCATTAGCCGAGATTACTACTTTCAGAACCAAGTAATCTAACACAGCACGGAAGACATCAAGAATGAAGTCCTTAATTTAAAAAAATAAAGAAACTGAAGAGATTGTCATCATTGATTAAAACATAAATACTTTTGGGGTTACAGTAGAACAAATGGTTGAATTCATGAAAATAATCCAATAAAGCTAAGTTTGATTGAATGTGTTTTTCCAAGATGAAAAAAAATCTTAGGTCGAGGTAAATGGTCAAAATACAAAACCTCTAAAGTAAGCAATTTTAATCCCTAAAGTAAGCAACAGCCTTTAAGAGGCTCTATTCTTACTGAGGTAAAAATAAAATCTACAGCCTGTGTTTCCAGCATCTGACAAAATTTCCCCTCATAAAATTTGGTGTCCTCCAGAAAACAGACATGAAAAATTGAGTAGCCTGACCACATACTTTCAGACTTCCCACTATCATTAATAGTATCATTAGTTTATCTTTTGACTACTACTCATCAGAAATTAAAAGCTACTAAAGACCACCTGAGAAGTAGGCATCATTTTAACTATTGCATCTATTTATTTATTCTATTAAGTTTATAACACTGGTTACACTTCTTTCCTTTTTTAAGGTTTTTGTTTATTTGTTATTTTCTGAGACAGGGTCTCACTATGTAATTCAGGCTGGCCCTGAACTCACTATGTAGCCCAGGTTGGCCTGGAACTCACAGTGATCCTCTTGCCTCAGCCTCCTGAGTGCTGAGGTTACAGGTGTGTACCACCATGCCTGGCAATTCTTTCTTATAAATAATGTCTTTTGGCCAAACAAGTCTAACTTAATTCAACAATTTTTAAATTGAAGGCTGTTCACTGTAGTTTTCAGTTAAGAATGATTAGAAATAGCACTTTTCATGATTGCCTTTTCTTTCATTTGGTTCAGACTATATACATACGTGTATATGCATGTGTGACTCCACATGCTCATATGCAAATATACCACTCATGAATAATAAAATACTGAAGATAAATGTATTTGTGCAACAAATCATTACCATACACATACACATGCATATATTTGTACCTATATAATCCTAAGGTTCAACAATCTGAAAACAGACACATCTTGTTTTACGATTTTGTCTAAAACTTCAGTTAGAAAGGTGATATGAGAAAGTTCAAGAGCTCTACTGTACCACATGGTAACTGCAGTTAATAACACTGTATTATGTTCTTAAAAGTTACTGAGAATCACTTTTAAATATTCTCAACACAAAACATGAGGTAATGAACATGTAACTTTATTCCACAATGTATGTGCACATATATTTATATATACGTACATTTCAAAACAATATACAGCACATGATAAACATATACTTTTCACTTGTCAGTATATGTTTTGTTCAAAATGAGCCAGATGGAATCCTAAGCATCTAAGTGAACACATGCTTTTCCATTCCTGGTTCTATCTCCAGGAGCAATGACCTTTAATTATTCATGGTTTTGATTCTTGTGATCACCTAACTCCAAGAAGTATATTTTTAGTGTCACTTTTTCATTTGTCAACTTTAGAAAGAACTGTTTACTCCCCATGAAAACTGAGGATTAGCCACTTACTAGATGAACAACACCAACCAGGTTTGTTCTGATGTGATTTTTAGGTTTTTCTTTGGTTATTCATGTAATTTTACATAACATGCCTAACTTTGTTCTGTCAACTTTTAAAAGAACCTCTTGATTTCCCAGTGTGAGGAATGAGACTATTATATGAGACTACTATGAGAAAACAAGTGAGATTATTATATCTCATTCCCTCTCCCTCAGTCTCTCTATCCTCCTCCCTTTTCTCCAAACTTCTAGCTTAAATGGTCAAGCTTACCAATCCATTTATTTTATATTTATAGAAAGCCTTCTGTGTTCCTCTTTAGGATGTGTCTAAAAATTGAAAACCAATACAATGAGTTATGTATGTATCTACACATGTAAATCTTTCTAGTTCCACAGCTGGGATTACATTTTATTTTCTAAGACCACATGTCCTTTGTTCCCACTCATAAAAATTGAGAATGTTTCCAGAATGGGTTCTTTTTTCTTATATTCCATAGAAGATAAAAGATTTTACTGAAACATTGCGTCCTTTTAAATGTTTTCTATTTAGAACACGATTTTTTCTAGCTTTCTAACCGCAAAAATTTCTAATAACCATTCTTTTATTAAGAAAAATATATCATTTTAAGCCTATCACCAGTAATTATCTATTTCTGGAATTTATCCCATTCTTTTCAAAGTCATTTTCCTTGGATCTTCTTTCAAAACCCTGTTGCACAGCTACTACCCTGGGATTTCTTTTCATTGTTCTCCACTGTTCTTTAATTGCATATTCCTGTATTGTCTTTTTTTTGAGAGAGAGGGCCTTGCTACGTATACATAGTTCAGGCTGGACTTGAACTCACCATGTAGTCCAGGCTGGCCTCGAACTCACTGATCTTCCTGCCTCAGCCTCTCCACCATGCCTGGCTTGACTTTCTAGCTGGACTATAGCCTCAAGGAATTTCCCCAGAAAGAGTACATGCAAGATAAAAGACTTTACTCTGCTCTCAGTGTTGACTGAGAGTTTGTCTTCCAAGTTGAAAATCAATCTTTTCTCAGAACTTGAAGGGAACTGTTCCAATGACTTCCAGCTTTGAGTGTTCTTCAGGAGGTTTATGCCTTTGGTGCTCGTTCCTGTGCTTTGTTCTCTCCTCAACTCGATGGTTTATCACAAAGAGGCATGCTCCTCTAGCATCCCCAAGCCCTCCCCTTACTTCCTCTTCCAACTCCTACTCTCCTGTCCACCAAGGGTAACTACTGGTTTTTATGATCATCATTTCCTTGCTCTCACCAGCTAAACATATATCCTCATATGAAACCCCTATCACTTATCTTGTCTGGATTTTAAAATCTGACTTCTTTCACACAAGATTGTATTTATGAGATGCAGCCATATTCTGTGCAGTTTGAATTCATTCTCTCACTGTTATAATATTCCTTTGAGTGATACACAATGTTGATATTTTCACTGCTTTTAGTTTTCAAGTGATTGCAAAAAGTCATAAATATTCTTGTACGTGGCTCTGGGTGCCCTATGCATTCATTTTTGATGAGTAGACAGCTGAGAGTGGGAATGCATATATTATATTTTAGTAGATAATACCAAACCCTTTCCCTGAGCAATTCTGTCAAGTTCCAGGTCCACTGGCAGTGCATGGAAGCTTCACCTCTGAGAGCTGTATACAAGCAGTCCCATATCCACACCAACATTTGATATTATGAACGGTTTAATTTTTCACTGCTGACTGTACAGCAGTATGTCATTGTGTAAGAAAATAATTTTAATTTGTATTTCCCTGATGAATAATGATAGTAAGCATATTTTCCTATGTTTATTAGTTATTTGGATGGCTTCTTTTTGTGGCAACTATTTGGTTGCTTCTGATATTTTAACAGTGAGAATTCTTTATATATTCTGAATAACAGATTTTTGTCTCTCATATACTTGTCCCTTGGTATCTATGGGAGACTGCACCTAGGACCTCCACAGACAGCAAAATCCCTTATATAAAGTAGAATAGTGTGTGCATATAACCTATGCACGTCTTCTCATACACTTTAAATCATCTTACATTTCTTATAACACCTAACTCAATGCAAATGCGATGTAAATAGTTGTGGTAATGTACTCTTTAGAGACTGATGCTAGAGAAAAGGTCTGTACATGTTTAGTACAAAAGCAATTATTTTTTCTAAATATTTTTGACCTGCAGAATCCCAGGATATGAAAGGTGGACCATGTATCTTCTCATACTCTATGCTTGTCTTTTCAAGTTCCTGATGATTTTTTAAACAGAATACAAATACATCAGTTTTATTTTTTTATATCTTACTTAAAGAAGTCCTCTCTACTCAAAGATCATGAAAAACATCCTTCTATATTTTCTTAAAGTAGCTTTATTGTTTTGCCTATACATTTAGAACCATTAAACTAGACTGATTTTTGCATTAATGTGTACACTGGGTCAACCCTCACTGCTTTCCATGACTATCCTGTCTTGTTTAGTAAAAGATCACCCTTTCCCACTGCTCTGTGAGGCTGCCACCATCATGAACTGGAAGCCCCTCTGTATCAGCCATGGTGGTGCATGCCTGCAATCTCAGCACTCTGGGAGGCTGAGGCAAAAAGATCACAAGTTCAAACCTAGCCTTGACAACTTAACAACTTAGTGAGACCCTGACTCGAAAAAGAAAAAGAAAAGACAGTTTGGTGTGAAAGTCATGGGTGCAGCCATTACTACCTACCACACACACAAAAGACAGAGGGAAAGCAGAAGAAAGAAGAGGAGCAGGAGGAAGAGGAAGAAGAGGAGGAAGCCAAGCTGTGTGGGGTGCTGCTTCCAGGTTCTTTATGGGGTTCTGCGGACTGCTGTCTCTGGTTGTGCCCAGCCCACACCAGCTCATCAGCAGGGCTTCCTGAGAAGTCTTCATAGCTGGAAGAGTGAGCTCTCCTGTTTTTCTTAAAGGGTGGCTTTTACCATTCTTGGAACTTTACTTTGAAATACACATTTTAGAATCAGTTTGCTAATTCATTTTTTGAAAAGGGCTATTTAGATTTAGGTTTCAGTCTATAGGCTAATTGTAAGTCATAACTTTATACTACTTACAGTAACTCAAGAAATGATATGTTGTTTATTTTTTCTAGTATCTTTTGGCTTTTTACAGAGGGCTTTCATATTTTGTTAGATT